ATTTTAATTTTGATATTAACACCTATATAAGTGTTAGCATCATCGTAAGTGTTATAAAAAATGCATTGGAAACGGTAAATAAAACTAATTTACCGTTTTAATTTAAAACTGTCTCGTAGTATATTACAGAGAATCCCTTTGTCTCATCCCTTTGTACACTCCGGCCTCTTGGGGGTCAAGCGGACCGCATTTCATCGGATTCAGTAATAACAATAAAGAAAAGTAGAGCTGTTTGATACATGTTACGGATGACTAAAAGTATAAAACTTCAGTAATACAAATACATCATAAAATGCATCAGAATACTAAATATTTGACTTGGACATTAACATGTATGATTTAAATGATTGATTTCTAGGTTTAATATGTGCTTTTCGTCATTTTGAATGATTTTTTTTTTTAAATTTAATGTAATTTGTTCAGGTGGTCTAAAATATGAAGTGCAGACTAATTAAACAGTCGCGAGATATTAAGTTTTCAAAATTGACACAATAGTTTAGAATCCACATGTCGACAATTTAATAAAGATGATAAATTGATTCAATGAAACGGTTTCTTAATAGAAGACAGCACATTTTGATGAAAATTAATGATCTCACAAACTAATTAGTTTCTATGCTGCGTGACATGTGAATATACGAGTATTACAACGCGTACACTGCGTCCGACATGATTAGCTAATTGAATCGACGGCCATCCGAACCGCGACCTCGATGTTTGACATACCACACTTAAATACGCATGAGCACATGCGTTACCCACAGCGGAGGGCCCAAACCCTGGGTGGCTAGCCCACCGGTTCTGCGTCAGATGAAGCTTTAATAGTCTCGGGACTGAAAGCACAAACATCAGTTAATACAAGATACAAGAAGTATACGAGTGTTTGTATATTCTTCCTGTAATTTGCATTACACAATGAAGATGGTCAAGGTAGTCCCTAGGACAATGCGATATCAAGTGAAATATAGCAAGTCGGAGCATAAAATATCATTTCTTACGTAATACTTAGCTTTTGCTGCTAATAAGTAGATCCGTGTTTGGCACCGAATTGTGATTCTAGTAACATTGCAATCCCATAATTGAGTTTTGAGTGGATTGTGTTGTTCGTGTCCAATATAAACACTTGGCATCTATCAACATCGTGATTCAATGACCTAAGATACTGCAGATCATTTAATTGTATTATCATTGTTGTGAGTATAAAGCGTCACAACATTTTATTCAGAAAAAAAAAATATTTTTAGAGCGTGTCTCTGCACTCAAGATGCGTCGAAACCGTCTTCTGAACCTGAAAAGCGCGAAACAAGAAAATACAGGTTCGAATCGCGCAGCGCCGAAATTTTTGTTAATTAATCTACAACAATTTCATGTCACAAAATTGTTTATTAATTTATTTATTTATTCTTGATGCACACACATGTATGTACAAAGGTTGACTTAATACCATCAGAATTATCTCCCAGCCGACCTTAGGGTTGTCCAGAAAAGTTTAGATAGCATGTATTACAAAAAAAATAAGAATTTTAAAATTTCTACATTACATATTGTACCTACTAACAAAATATTATACTTATAATATATATATTACACTTTACTGATGCTATGGTTAAATAACACCTAACAATATTGATTACACTTTGTGTCGTTAAATAAATAATGTTTTAAATAATTTCATAAAGTTATATTATAATCTTGTTCATGAAAATTTAAACTGAGGTAATATAAAACTTCTTTAGATCAATATTGTTAACAGTTTTTAAACATTTCATGTCCGTAAGAAAACAATATAAGTTCACTCTATGCGAAAGTCAAAAAGCTTTACTGCAAAGGCTTATGAAAAATGCATTCACTTGATACTACACAGTGACCTAAACTTCAGTAATAAAAGTTGGCTCGCCCGACTGTAGTAAGTTTAATTTACGTTCGAGTATCTATTTTAAAGCAATCTTTCATATAACGTTATTACATTACTAAAAGGCTCACAGCGGGTTTAACGGAGACTGAGTTAATGCTACATTATTTTCGTAGCAAATATATAACAACACTTAAAAATGTGTTACGAGATACATTCGCAACAAAATTTCATTAATACACTACTAAACATCAATATTAGCATATTTTTTTATAGCCGTTAATTAACATTGACGACAAAGCAATTGTTTTTTTTATGTCAAACTAGTGACCCGCCCCGGCTTCGCACGTGTGCAATATATTATGCATAAATAAACCTCCCGCTTGAATCCCTCTATGTAGTAAAAAAAACCGCACCAAGTTCCGTTGCGTAGTTTTAAAGATCTAAGCAAACATAGGGACAGACAGACAGCGGGACGACTTTGTTTTACATTATGTAATGAAGTAGAAAGCGAGCTGTTGTTTAACCTGATGTTGTAGTGATAGCCGCTGTCTATGGTTTGAATCACCCGTAGGGTGGCAGATGCAATTCTATGTTTTAATAAAGTGGGTCCCGGTTATCTCACTCACCAGACGAAGCGTACAAGTGCAATACTTCAACTTCGCCCCGGTCTTCTGAGAAGTAGTACATCCCTGGACGGATATAGTGTATTGACGGATATACCCATAAAATAAAGGCTTAAGTGTAGAATTATACGTAAAATTTAATACATCGTATTCGTACACAATACGCGAATACATTTAAATGTGCAAACCGCAAACATTTAGTGGCATTTGTCACCCGCTTTCAGCGAGCTGCTTTCTGCTATCCAGTTCGGTATAACAACAATAATATGGGTCAGGAAGTTACTCAAGGTGCAGTGCATATGCACTTATGTAAAGTAACAGCCTGTATGTCCCATTGCTGGGCAAAGGCCTCCCCTGCAGATTGCCATGAAGCACGATCTTGAGCCTCCATCAACTACCCGCACATTTGTCCACAAAGGTCCTCACTCCATGTAATGCGGGGTCGTCGTACACTGCGATGGCCAGTGAGACACGCCATTCGAGAACATTTCTTCCTCAATGGTTATCTGTTCTACGAGATATATGGCCGGCCCATCGCCACTTCATCTTACTACCTTATCTTCCGTCAAACTTTTCATAATCACAGTCATTATCTAAACTTCTCTCTCACTAACTTTCTGGCTGGCTGGTAGAAAATGCCTTATGGCATTAAGCCCGTCGTTTGTACTAGTTAGTACAAAAAAGTGTGCAAATAAATAAATAAAATAAATAAATTATCACTTATTCGCATAACTCCTTCTTCATTCTCAAACAGGCTGAAATGACGAGCATAATGATAATGAAATAAGACTTATTTTCCAACGCCATTCAAGTCAATGAATGTTTGTTTTTAGCAATTTTTGTTTAGACCTTCTCGATAAAAGATTTGATTGAATCAAGAAAACTTTAACTTTCAACTAATAAAAATAAACCGGCCAAAAAACGTACGATATAGTTGAAAATTACATTCTTGAGGTTGAACTACCCGTAAGTTACTTTGTAAAAGCTCAAACCTTCCTCGTAATTGAAGTTTGGCGATTAAAAATAAATTTTTGCTCGTTCATCGAGGTTTATCTCTTAAGCGGATAAACTGAGTTTGGCGGGACTTTCACCGGGAGGTAGCGGATTTTCAAGGGAATTTAATTACATAAAAATTGGGAATGCTTAGCTTTCCGAGAATTTCAAAAACCTTTGGAGTTAAAATGAATACCCGGGTCATTTTATCACTTACACTAAGGGGATTTCATCACGCTAAATTTGTATAATGTTAATATTTGTTTTAAAATTTCAAAATCTCTGTCCTAGTGATAGTCCAGGTGTTAATACTATTATTAATGATGAATCGTGAACATTGTATAAAGAGGTATTCTAAGGCTGCAACACACAAAAAAACGATATCAATAATATCAATAATTTCATATGTTGTTAAAAAAAACAACCTGTAACATCTTTTAACCCCGACCTTATATGTATAAGACCTCCACCGATCTTGTTTACTTCCAAGCAAAACCGGTTGTAAAATAGGCTAATTAACACCAGGTAGAATTAGTAGTCAAGCACTAGAAAACACAAATGGGATACAGCGATTAAGTAACAAAAGAAATTCTAGATACCTATATATTTTAAGCTTCACAGACCCGGTCCTTAGATCTGGATCTTTAACTGGAAATTATACGCGCAATCAAAATCAAAATTGCTAAAAAGAAAGAAGCTTCAATGACTTTGCATAATTGTGCCTTAAATAGAGATTTAAATTATCACACCGCCAATCCGAGTACTTAATATTAGAGAAAACTTTTATAACCAAACTGATTTCCGCCTTAACACGTTAACTGCGTAATATAAAACAGTGACTTTCAGCTGGTGCGGTGGCAGTCCAAAACAGCCCCCACTTGACTTTCTTACTGTGCGTAGCGGGCCTTTTCGACCCGACAACTCTGAGAGGTATTAAAGCTCTATTATCTCAGCCAATCCATATAGAATATTTTTATTTTTTTATGGTCTTCGAATTGTCATGAATTACTTGTCTAAACATTGTCCCCGCCCTTGGATCCTCCAAACAGAAAATGAGAAATTAGCAATCGAAAATGTCAGGTCCGACAAGGCCCGATACCGCACCTAAGTGTATTTTTGTAGTGATGGGGTATTGAAGAAAACAAAATATCGAGTTATTAAAATAGATACCTAGTTAAAATCTAATAAGCACTAACTATTATACTCTGAAGTATATTTATTGGTCTCGGTTAGCATTTTTTCAAACAGTTTATCTGTTAAAAACAAAGAAAAATGCCATCAGGCGGGTGTTTTCTATCGAAAAATTAATAGTGCTCTCATGTAAGGTGCATTCGTCTAAATTAAGAGTAAAATCAGTAATATCTTCCCATTCACTCCCTTCACCGTCATCTTGTGCATCTTTTTCGTCGTTGTTAGTTATTGCTGATAGCTCGGAGACAACTTCGCTGGGACAGTATTCATCACTATCGTTACTTTCAAAATCGGCCTCTTCTTCTTCATCACATAATTCTTGTTCATTTTCCTCGTCAGTTTCTTCTACATCCTGACCTCTCGGGGTCTTCCTCCCTCTCGGTCCCTTCCTCCCTTTCAGTCTCTTCCTCCATCTCAGGCTCATTCTCCCTCACGGTCCCTTCTTCCCTCTCAGCCTCTTCCATCCTATCGGTCTCTTCCTCTCTATTGGTCTCTTCGTCCCTTTCAATCTCTTCATCTCTGTCTGACTCTTGCTTCTTTTCTATTTCTTCTTCGTTTCCGGTCATTTTCTCTTTTTCTGTTTCTATTTCCTTCTTTTTTCTTCTTTTTTTTGCTCGTTTCTTAGTTTAATATCGATAGAATTCTGAGATAAGTCGTCTTCAAAAGAATAGGTGAATGTTAAATGGTTTCCAGCGTTATGATTTTGTAATACCGGTCCTTGCATATTTTCGAGTTTGTGTTTTAAATTTATGGTTTCGTATCCTCTTGTTTATTTTACGAAACTGTCGACCGCGAGCACGTCCTCCTCCCGTGACACACACTACTGACGGTTCAACGCGTACGCATCTGCACAGTGCGGCAACAGGTCGCCGTCGGTCATCCACCGAAATAGGCCCGCTCCCGCACTGAGATAACTTTTTTTAAGTCCTATGCGGCGGAGGTCGAAAATGGCCCGACACGTAAGTAAACTGCCTATATTTTTACATTTTAAGTCACAAATCGAAAACTATATTTGTCTCTGTCATACTCGTAAAAATGCCCTTAAAACCTGTTCCGCACAAGCGAGAAAGACCAGTTTTGTTCGCGCGCACATTAATTTGACACAGCGTCGGGCCGATTGTGGGTGAACCGCAGTGAACGTGTTAACTTTATGTAAAGCTTTGTTAATACAACCAACTTTAACTACTAAGAATTAGTTGTCGTACGATTCAGTTGTGGTTAAAGTGAGGTACCTACAAGTAAAACCCTTTTTAAGTTTGTTTTGTTCGTTTATTTCTAATGTAACCAGATCAGAGTAAACGTTAAACCAGACCCTGGCAAATTGTTTCACTATTTTGCAAAAGATGCCTCAAATTAGAATAGTATTAAGTTATTCTTTCACGATACGACCGAAATCTTTTCCGATGCAATTTCAAAAGAGCTAAATGCACAAAATAATGCAACTATAACGAATAGTCGTTTAGACGAGAACTTCCTTCATTGCACATAATAACAAAATGAAACTTATGTTTCGTAATTCAGTAAACTTATTACGATTAAAGCGTACCGTCAATCCAAAATAATTTCATTTTATAATGTCCACCGATTTCGTACACATTCTAATTTTGTTACTTGTCAATTGGACTATCAAATGGAACCGCAACCAAAAAGGATCAGAGCCTTTTACCTACTTTACATTCAAATAACTCAGGGAGTCTATCAGTCCGTAAAGTTGGATTTTCGCGGGATACACAAGAAAAAGCAATTAACTAAGATCCCACGTGGTCTAACCGAACACGAGAAAATTAAAAGCAAATTACTCCCCGCTAAGCGTAAGCAATTAATCATATCTTGTTTCAAGTGATAAATTCTATAGGTCTGGCTATTTGTAAGCTGTGTGACGGAGTATCGCTTAGTCGAATTATTAGTTTGTGTTTTTTATATTATCGGTTAATACTGATCTCTCTGGTGTCTATGAATTCAGAGATAGCTAATGCTATCTCACTTTAATCAAATTTACTAGCAGCAAACTGACTGATTCTGGAACCGGCCACTTACAAAAAAAATATGGTACGCGAAAATGTAAGCCAGGGAACAAGTACTTTAATTGGGGAGGCCGTCATTTGTTTCTTCAATAAAAAATTGTGTGTCATTATGGAAATCTTTCGTGATAATTATCGCTCGATGATTTCTTATGACGCTAGATTTGAACAAGTCAGCATGAGAGTTGGCAGAGATTTTACATTTTAAACTTTATCAAATCAAAAATTAACAAAATGATGGGTTCTAGCTAACTGGTAAAGATAATTAATTATAAATTTATTTTATAAATAAATACATCGGTCCACGAAAAAAAGTCACCAAATACATTTGATTTTTGTTCGTTTAAAATGGCCGTATTTAAGAAAAATGATGGCACTTTTCCCTTAAGTATATCTTATTGAGAACATTTACAAATAAACCTCTATTTTTCAATGTTCTCAATGGCTACATTATAGTGTTGTCAAAAAGGAAATGTACGTTAGTTGTGACTTTAAACGGTTTTGTGCATAAATAATAAGACTAAGTCGGCGTTAGAATTAGAACTGTTGTGAGCAGTCATGTCACGCCTTCAATCTTCAATTCCCTGCCGTTAAGATGGCCTGTCCTTCGGCGGGAAATTGGATTCCGACCGTAACGCGACGGCGCTAAGCGGCACCCGGGGCTTAATCAATTACGGTTAGAGGTCTCGTCTTGCTTAAACTTTTTTAACATAATCAAATAAAGTTTACTCTGTAAAAATAAATAAAAAACATACATTTGAAAAAAAAACACGGCAGGAATTAATAAAAAAAACATACGTTTGAAATAACGCGGTACTTTAATTATTGGCTTTATTTTAATTAATAAAAAAGTCCTCTAGGAAATTGCTGTTTTATCTAGACTAAAAATCAAATGACTACTATGAAGACTTCTTCTTAAATATCTCAATATTTTGACGATAGTTTTGCTAATTTAATGAAAGTCCATTGGTGCGTAACTACAAACTGTTGCAACAAAAACCCTACGATGTGAATATATTATGCATTCCTTGAAAGCATGTTTCAGTACCCGTGTAAAAGTTATTCAAAAATAATGAAAATCGATTGGAGCAAGCTATAGTGAATACGATATATAGGAGAGTTTTTTATCTATGGGACGATTCGTTATATGGTGGATGGATGAGGGTGTCGTAGAAAAGGAGTAGACTACAGCACATCATTATGTGGAATGCTTCACAGTGCACCGGGAACTGTACTACTAGGAGTAGCTGCTGTACTGTAACTAATACTGCTCCAGCAGTTTAGATGATGAAGGGTAAAACGGGACCCTTTTACTAAGACTCCGCTGTCTGCCTGTCTGTCTGTTCTCGCGTCACAGACAGGTTGTATCTCTATATGTGTGTATGAGCCGTGATAGTGAGATAGTTGAAATTTTCACAGAAGATGTACTTCTGTTGCCACTACAACAACAAATACTATAAAACAGAACAAAAATGCTCCCATACAACATATATGATTTTTTTGCCGTTTTTATAAATAACGGTATCTTAGCGTGCGAATCCGACTCGCACCTGGCCAGTGTTTTTCTTCCCGCCTTAAAGTGTAAAATAGCTAATCCACGTGCGGCACTCAGTCAGCCTATCAGACTATATACAAGGGACAGTGCATCTATTCTAACGAATGACTAAAAACTACGGATCGAACCTATGACCACCTGTGTGAATAATTGATTATGTTTAAATATTTTAATGTGAATAATTTTATATCAAATTGACAATTGCATGCTGAAGTCAGCTGAATATGTTGCACCAAATTATTTTAAGATCACCATGTACTACCATATTCTGGCAATAAAGTCATTCATTCATTCATTCATTCACCACAGATAACAACTGTACAGAGTGATACGCAGCCTGCAACTGGCACACATATCTTTAAATCATTATTCTATTAAACAATCATTTAAAACTAAGCTTTCAAACTGCTCGTAAAACGTATTCACTACTAAGGAATTGGAGTAAAAATTTTGAAAAGTTAAAGAAATAAAATTAAAACTACAGCCCGCCCTGTTTATCGGATCGAAGCTTTGTTTCACGTTTTCAGTAATTACACTGACTAAATTGGATTGAGTTTCCTGTTAATCCATCTTCTCTGTTTTCTTTAGAACTTACTTTTAGATGGATTTTCGCGCCGAGCTAAGTGACGTTACCGCAAAAAGTAGTTTTAGAGAGCGTAAACTAAACTGATTGTAAAGAATAACATTATGGATTCATAAACTAGTATTTATTATTGTTTCCGCTATAACAACAAATATAAAAAAAAACAGAATAAAAAATATTTGAGTGGAGCTCTCATAAAACAGATACAATTTTTTTGCCGTTTTTATAGATAACGGTACGGCATCCTTCGTGCGTGAGTCCGACTCTCACTTGTCCGATTTTCTAAAAATACCTCATGGAAAATCGTTCTGTGGCGATGACGCGAGTTCCATAATTTTTGTTGACCCAAAAGTCCTCAACGCGCCTTAAGAAGTTTTCACTTCAAAAATACCTGTAGGTAATATTAAGACGATCCAACTACCGTGCGTACAAAATCCTGCAGAGTATATCCCCACAACGCGCCCTTATTAAAGACGGCAAAGAAATTGTTACGGTAAAAGGCATGCTTCAGCTTTTGAGTGCGTGCTACACACTTCATGCTAAAGGGTAAGTAAGGGTCGATAGGTGTATTTACATGAGTGTTACAGAAAGAATTACTGATACACGCTTTCACAAAATTGACTAGTGGAATTCACATTTTTGCAGATTTATATTATCGTGTTAGATAAGTGAAATGAGTAAATTAAGTGGCGTTAAAGATTTTCTCCCATTAATAGAAAATATAAAAAATTGAGAAAATTTAACTGAAACATATTTCTTAGATGAAACATCAATGAGATAAGAGTGATGATGGGTTCTTTGCAGTCCACCGCGTAATTGTAAAGGTTGTTTTTTTCTTTCGCATGCACTATATTTTGGAAAGATGTTTAGAAATTACAATGGTAAAAATGATCGAGTAAAATATGGAAATGCCAAGATCGCAGGGACGCGTTGTATGCAGGCCGCTAACGACCGGTCGAAGTGGGAGTCAATGGGGGAGGTCTGTGTTCAGCAATGGAAGTCCTACAGCTGATATGATGATGATGATGATAATGAAGTGTAAATCGAACCCGCGACGGTCGAAGTGGAAATCGATCATTAACTTCTCCGTTGATCGAATTAACAATTGATTATTGTCAACTTTTTTGGGCCAAGAAACAGTGTTCACTGTTGCACGAATGGGCGGAACCGTCCGGGTAAGTACCGCGACCTCACTGAAGACCGGCGTACAGTAGAAGTGTTACACTTTTGCGTTTCGTTTAAAGGTGGCAACGCATTTGCAACCCTACCGATGTTGCAAATGTCCATGGACGGCGGTTACCACTTAATCTTCTTCTATCGGAAGTACGGGATAAGGAAACTGTGAGGTCATGGTGTAATAACTAATACCAAGAAATATTATCCTTGCTTTTGCGTAGCCTCACAAGA